GGAAAGAGAGATGAACAAAAAAGATAGTTCCTGCCTTCCTTCAAGGAGCCTCCAGTCTAGTAGAAGAGGTGATACATGAGTGAATAATTGCAATAGTGTGGTGAGTGGATTGCACCAGGTTGGAAGGGAACTTCAGAACAGGCTCCAATACATTCCAGGAGGTCTTACGATGAGCCTTGAAGGCTGCATGCCTCATACCAGGCAGAACAGAGGTTTCTGAGTAGCAGGAAGAGTGTGTGCTGAAGGCTAAGAGTGGAGAGCTCACTCAGGGGATGAGGTGGGAGGAGGGTCAACAAACAGAGGGACCAGGTGAGGAAGGGGACAGTGTGCCAAGGAAGGAAGCCTGGACTTTCATGAGGCAGTGGAAGAGTCCATGAAGGGCTTTGCATGTGGATGAACTAACAGGTTCTCATTTTTAGCAAGACCATGGAGGCCGATTACAGATAACCGTTCCCCAGGGGAAAATTCGTCGTGGCCTGGGCTGGGGGGATGTCAGTGAGGGTGGAAAGAAGGGGAGGGTCGTGGGAGTAACTTGGCCATGATGAGGGAGAGCGGCTGAGCTGTGTGGCCATGCAGCCTGAACCACAAGTGTGCACTGTGATGAGGGGAGAGGACAATGATCAAGCACAGACCACCCTTACTCTGCAAAGCAACTCACAGTGTGGCCTCACAGACAAGGCAGCCTCTCCTGTAGCAGGTGGACAAAGATTCAGGGGGGATAGTGACGGATGATAGGCAGATAGGCAGACAGGTGGATACACAGCTCGACAGATGGGTAAGTAAGGGGGGGACGGAAGAAGGGGGAGAGGAGGTGGACAGGTAGCAGGAAGGGAAGGAGGAATAGAGTCCAGGAAGATACAGATATTAATTGCTGTCCATCACCTGCCTTCATAATGCCCATCCCATTCTAATTGAAAATGTAGGACACAACTAAAGTCTAGAGAGGGTAAGTGAGCCTCAGTCCAAAGCCAAGCCAAGATGATCTCTGGATGATAATGTCTGATCCCTGCTCCAAACACCCTACCTCCCCACCACCCTACCAAAGGTTTCACTCCCCCATTCACCCTTCTGTCCTGCAGAAAAGCGAATCACAGTAAATCCAGACTAAAGCCCAGAAGTGGAAACTTGGTAACAAGGCCAGAGGGCCTCCTTGTTCCTCTCTCACACTTCTTCATCTTTGTCATCACAAACATCACCAAGCACTGACTCTGTCTGGTCCTATTATAAACAATTTGGATGCGTGGACTCATTTATCCTCTCAATAATCCTGTAGGTAAGTATATTATTAGCCCCAGTTTTTCCCCAAGAGGAAACTGGAGTCCAGAGATGTTAAGTAACTTGTTCAGGACCACACGGATTCTAAGGGCTGGACGAGGAAATGAGCTAAGCAGCCTCTCTCTGCAGTCTGTCCTCAGCCATGTGGCTGCCCTGCCTCTGCTTCTCCCAAGTCAAGGTGTTCGAGCTTTGGCCAAGTCCCTCTCCCCTTAGCATGCCCACCGCACTCACCAAGATGAAATAGAAATGACTTACAGCTGCTCATCCAGAAGATGACTGGGGACGGAAGTCCTGGTGGGGGGTTGCACTGGAGCGTCAATGGGGCACCTTCTTGAACCACAACAGGGTCTAGGTTTTCCTTGGGCCATAGGGGAGATTCTGGGGAGAAAGGGACAGAGGAGGATGAGGTGTGGGTAATGGCTGGGGCCAAGGGTGAGGAGGGGAAATAGAAGAGGAAACTGGAGAATGCGGGAGGCAAGGGAGGGGCCATAAGCCCAAGCCAAGGGCAGCGCTGGGAGGCAGAAGAGGCCTTGTGCTGCTGTGAATGCCAGCTCAGAGGCCACTCCTTCCCTTCTCCCATGCCCAGAGTGGCCAAGGGGGGTGGGGTTGCTGCAGACCCTGGTTGGAAGCTTCTTTACCAGCGGCTCTCTCTGAGGTGGGGAGAAGATGGAGGGCCCCAAAGCAGCTGCAAGCAAAGGACAGGCTGGCCCTTCTGGAGTGACCTTCTGCCCTCGGCCCCACCTTCCCAGGGCCAGGGCATTTTGGCCCTGCCCCTTGCTACTCACTGGACACCTGTAGGCGGATCCTGTTGGACAGGGCCGTGCCGAACTTGTTGCGCGCGAAACACTGGTACTCCCCCTCGTACTCCTCTGGCCGTCCGCCGCTGCGGAAGTCAATCACCAGGGTCCCAGACCTCCTCCTCATGGACACCCGGGGGTCCTTGGCGATGTTGAAGAACCTGCTGTTGCGAGTCCAGTGGAAGCTGTGGATGGGGGGATGGGGCAAACAGGAGTGAGGAGGCAGTTCTGGGCTCTGGGAATCTCAGGTCCTGGGCCTGATCAGGTGCTAACCTGCCAGTCCAATTGGCATGCCTCTGCACCAGGGACCCCAGCCCTGCTGAGCAGCAGAACCACCCAAAAGCTTGAAAAATGCCAAGCCCCAAGTCCCACCCAGGTGGGTCTCCAGGCAGGAGGCCGGCATTGGCCTTTTTGTCCAGCCAACTCTGGGAACTGTGGCTCTTGGAGGTAGCACTCGAATAGCCACCGAGGAGTATGTCCTTTAGTACAGGGTTCCCACCTCCTAGGCTGTGGGCTGGTACTGGCCCCTGGCCTTTTAGGAACTGGGCTGCATGGCAGGAGGTGAGTAGTAGGTGAGCAAGTGAAGCTTCCTCTGTTTACAGTCACTCCCCACCGCTCACATTACAGCACGAGCTCTGCCTCCTATCAGACCAGCGGCTGCGTTAGAGCCTCATAGGAGAGCAAACCCCACTGTGAACTGAGTGCAGGGCGTCGCTCATAAACCATCCCGCCCTCCTCTATCCCAGTCTTCCAGGAAATTAGTCCCTGGTGCCAAGAAGGTTGGGGACTGTCGCTTTAGTCCATCATGGAGAAGCGGGCCGTGGTTTCCATGTCTTTTAAATACTGGGTCCTGCTATGTCACGGTCCTCCTGCCTCGGCCTGCCAGCAGTAGTGTCCGCCAGCACGTGCGCCCACGCTGGCCTGTGACTCTGATCTGTAGAATCCACAGTCAGCGGCTCCTTCCACCCCAGGGCATTCCAACCGCCTGCCAGGAATGCAAGCCCACATTTCACCCAGCCCTGGTGCATCAGGGACTTCTTTTTTATTTTTCATTTTAGGTTTTTGCCATAAGACATGTGTGCTTGCCAGAAAGGAGAGAAACAGATTCAGAGAGAGGGAAAGTGAGAGATCAGGGGGGTGTAGCCACACCATAATCCTGTCTCTGCCCTTTTCCTCTTGGAATTTTGGGCATGCACGCACATATGCCTAGTATGATTTTCAAACCACCGGGTCTGGGACACTAACCATGGTCAGCCATGTGGGAATCCAGCACCTTAATTACTATGCCACTTCTGGGTCTCCATCCCTTATTGTATCATCCATGCCAGAGCCAGAGTGAACAGCTCAGGGTATCTGTGCGCAGCCCAGAGCGTGCAGGTCATAAAGCAGCAGCCAGCGCCATAGCCTGAGGGCCAGCTTCTGGGGGAAAGTGGCCTGTAGGAAAGAGCCTGGGGAAGAGCTCTGGACCGCCCCTCGACCCCCTGTGTGGCTACTACCGCTGCTGCCATCCTTGGCTGTCCAGGACACAACTAGTAAAAGCAGGAACAGTGTGTGCGTGTGTGTGTGTAGGGGGGGTACCAGGTAGCATGAAGGTTAAGGCAGCTGGATCTCACATGGCTGACTGTGCAGTTCAAGTCCCAGACCAGGTGGCTTGAAAATCACACTGGGTGCATGTGTATGTGTTCCCCAAGTCCCAAGAGGAGAATGGAAAAGGGACTGTGGTATGGCCATCCCTCCTGGGGGCTGATTTCTCACATTCTCTCTCTCTCTCAGTCTCTCTCCAGTGAGTGCATGAGCCCTATAGCAAAACAAAAGAAAACCAACAAGCAGTGGGAGCAGCTGCTCTGTTTCACAGTCACTGTCCCTGCAAAGGACCCATGCGGAAAAGGCCAACTCTCAGAAGTGAGGTCACCAGCACCCCAAATGACCTTCAGGATGACTCCCACTTGAGACAAGGGAGTCCCTGCTGGTTGCTGGGTTCACAGATCTGAGTTCAACTCCTTGATGCAAACCCGGGGACTCGGGGCAGAATTAGGCTGCCATGCACCTGACAGCCTCCGCCCTGTTGGTTTCTCCTGCCAACAGACACAGGCTGGATAGGGCCGTCACGTCTGGGGCTGAATCCTGCATGAGGTTCCCAAAAGGCCCCGTCTGTGGATGCTGCTCTGATGGGGGTGGATAACGCAACACCTGCCATGTCGCCAAAGCTTATAGGTTGGAAGGAATAAACCTGGTCTTGGGGCTCACAGGCTGAATTTTTGTCCAGGTTCTGCCCCTTTAAAGCTGGTGACCTGGAAAGAGGTATTTCAAATCTCTGCACCTCCATCTCACCCCCTCTTCACAAGGACGTCGGTTCTTCCCCAAAGGGCAGGGAGGTGGTTGAAGAGGACAAGGCGAGGAACAGCGTCCACCAGGGCCTGGACAGCGTGGGCTCCTCTGTCCTGACACCTCATTTGACTGGAGGGGCACACACACAGTAGAGACAAGCTCAGAATGAAGGACTCGGGTCGGCTAAGAGGAGCCTCCTGTAAGCCACACAAGGGTGGATGCTGGGAAGAACCTTACACTGAGGGTCAGAGTCTTCCCATCTGGTCCTGACTCTGGTGTGGACTTACACCACTTACGTGCTCCATTGCCCGGTTTCCTCATCAGCTGTGTTCCCAGTTACCTAAACTGTACCTTCCACCTAGCACGTACGTGCCTAATGGCTGTTTCTGAATGGCTGAACCTAATTTTCCAGCTCATTTGCCTTCAGTATCATGAGGCCCAGAGGCCAACAGTGGTTTAAATGCCCTCTCCCCAGGCCCCTCTCCCTCCATGTCTAGGCTTCCCTGCCCAGCCACTCACCTGGGCGCGGGGTTCCCCTTAGCTTCACACTCAATCAGGATGTTGTCGCGGGGATCCACGATGTGGTCCTTCACGGACTGCTTGGTGATGGTCGGGGGCTGGGTCACTGCAACAGGACACGTGGGGGCCGGTCAGAGTGCAGGGACCTGCCAGCCCGGGCTTGGGGAACGGCTGCAAGTAAGAGCTTCAGGAGCGACATACATAGGCAAGTGGCGGTGACCAGTGCCCATTCTAGACACCTGGCCCCTTAAGTGGAGCCCCAGGAAAGGGGGTAGGTGGGTGTCAAGATCTCACAGTATCCACCCATTCTGATGTGGCAGTGCTCAGCACACTGCAGTGCGTAATAGCTCCTGACAAATGTTTGCTGGATGAATGGAGCCACAAAAGCAGCCAGATCTCCAAAACCTAGGGGCCATGGTGGGCTTAGCCCTGACTTCGGTGCGGCTAGAACTGAACGAGGCTTCGGTGTCCAGAGAACTTCCCAGAGACCTGTCAGCACACCAGGAGCCAGACTCTAACTCTAGGCCCCAAACTCCCACCCTATGCCAGTCCTGGGCCAGCCACTGGAGGACGGGAAACAGCAGGGCACTGGTGCGCCTCAGTTTCCACCCAGGGAGCCTCTTCTTACACCTGCTCCTCCTACTCACCAGCCTCTCAGCGATGGGAGGCACCGAGTAAGCCTCATCCCGTCCCCTGCAGGGAGGGACCTCACCACGGGGCTCTGGTGTAGAGAAGCCCTGGCAGAGGTCTTAGCAGGCACAGTGGAACAGCCAGAAATCCCCAGGTAGCTCCTCACCTGGCCTCCTCCCGGGCCCTCCTGCGTCCCTCCCAGCTCCCAGAGGCACAGTGCAGGGAGGCGCAGGGACTTACGCTCATTCTGAATGCTTGCTGTTAGTTCCGATGGGTTAGCATTGTAAGGAGGAGAAAAGAAGAACATTGGTTATCGCAGCAACTAACCGCCCGGGTGTCTTCAGGCTCCAGCATGCAGGGAGAGGGAGGAGGTGGCCTTGGGATGGGACTGTGCCCAGGCCTCTCTTCTCCCAGCTGCAGAGCTCCGTGGAAGAGCTGAGCAAGGCTGGAGAACAGACCAGTGAGTGCTTTGTGGAGAAGAGGACGCCTTCCCCCAAAGACTAAAACCATACAGCTGAGCAGAAAGACCAGCTTGTTTGATGGAAGGTGAGGCCAGGCACATGTCCCAAAGTGATACCACCACTTGGAAGGGGCTCTGAAGATGCTGCCTGAAATCTGATGCCATTGGGGAAGTGGTTCCTAGGCCCATGGAACAAGGGGGGATGAGGGCAAACCGAGGTACAGGGAAGGGCAGGGCTGAAGCATCAGTGTAGGACACAGCTCCACGGTGGGTGCAGCAAGCCCAAGGCCTCACTTCTCCCACTATACTTCTCCTCGCCACCTCCTCCTCCCCATCTTCCGGAAAATCCGGGCAGGGATGGGCTCTCATAGCCCGACTCAGGGCAGAAGTATATTGCCCTGTGGAATTCCCGCCTCTGCATGAGACTCCAAGGGTGAGCGAGCCTACTGCTCCTTTCTGTGCGTTTCTCAAGGGGGTGACGAGGCAGGTGCCCTCAGCCCTGACCCAAAATGTGCCTATGCTTGTGTACAGGTGTGCCTGTGTACAAGAGTGTTCACATGTTTGAGGGCCAGGGGCTCATACGCTAACAAGCGTCACATGGGGCTGGCTCCAATGCAGGCTCTGACTCATTCGGGGTGGGACCTGGGACTCAGCCTTCCTGACCAGTGCCCAGGTGAGGCACTGCTGCTGGTCTGTGGGCCAGGCTTTGGGTAGCAAGGCTTTAGATGAGGTGTCCTTTGTGGGGTGAAGGTCTTGGTTAAAATTTGTCTGCAGAGGGGCTGTGGCAAGGTAGTTAAGGTGCTGGACTCCCACATGGCCAACCATGGTTTGAGTCTCAGACCTGGCAGTTTGCTCTCTCACTTTCTCTCTCTCTCCTTCTCTCATCGAATTAAAAAATAATCATAACAAATCAAATAAATACATATTTTGGAAACTTTGTCTGCAGAAAGGAGAACAAGTGTTGCTGAAACTTCTTAAAATGTCTTTGCCTCCTGATTCTATCTGAGAGTCCCATGGCACTCCCGTTCCACGCTGGCGCAGAGGCCAGAGACCTTGCAGGCGAGGTAGGCAGCCTTTATCAGTGAGTCTTCCTGCGGGGGGCGGGAGCTGCTGCATCAGGGCACAGCCAAGACCTTGCAGCCTCCTGCCAGGACGAGAGTGAGCCTTGGAAGAGGGGTCTGGGGCTCAGAGAGGGTGGCTGGGAGAAGCCAGGGTTTAAGCTAGACCAAAAGGCCCAGGAAGGGAAGGAGTGGGAGGAGGGAACGCAGAGGAAGGATGAGGTGTGGTGAGTGTCAGTAAATTAAAGTGAGTAAGGCTCGTGAAAGGGTCGAAGTTATTCTTTTACGTGGGCCACAGCTGTGTGGCTGCTGGAGCAGTGACACTTGGTGTCACCCTTTGCCCCTGGGCTGCCTGGGTGGGAAACAAAAGGAATGAAAAGTTCAGGTGGGGGTAAGCAAAAAAAAACTACTAGTTTCTAGACTCATGCTCCCGCCCCACTTTATCTGTGTCTGGTTTCCCTCCCAGGGGCCATCATTCTGGAAAGACTGAAAGCCGGGGTTGGCATAGGAAGGGAAAGTGGGCTGAGGGCCACTCACAGAAGCAGGGCTGACATTTCTGACCAGGCCCCTGGCTCTTCACTCTAAGACACAGCTGACATCTTGGGTCCTTGCAGAGTTGAGGGCCCTGGCCTCTCCCTGGAGGGGAAGGATCTGCCTTGCCCACATGGGCTTTTAGTCGCTTTTATACATTCAAAGCCTCTTTGTAAAAAACGTTTTATTCAATGTCATGATTTTATTTTATTTTTTTGAAGTTAACCAGAGAGAGAGAAGGACAGTGAGAAAGCAAGCTGCCAGGTGAGCTGAACTGCGGTCAGCCATGCGGGAGTCCAGCCACCTTAACCACCACGCCACCTGCTGGCCCCTCAAAGCCTCTTTCATACAGTCAAAGCCAGGGGATCTCCAACCCAAGGGCGGGGAGTCCCCTGGGTGAGATCACACAGGAAGTTCGAAGCGGAACAAGAATGAGTATCAGCCCTCCCGATGCCTGGTCCAGAGCTCCTCTACAAATCCAGCCATCCACAGCCAGAGAGGGCGGTTAGCCAGGTGGGCTTCAGAGTCCGCTCTCCTTGACATCGTGGACAAAAAGGGACTCCTTGGGGGACAAAGACTCAGGACAGCTGGAGCTGGGCACTGTCTCCAGCCCATGTAGACCGCCTGGCCAGGGGCCTTGCCAGCATCTACTTGTCTAAGGGGGTAGTGACATCTGTAGCTACCACTATGCTACTGAGGAATTTATTACAGGGACAGAATCCCGGGGACAGCTGCCACAGGGAGAAGACAGTGGGGACGGCCTGTCTAGGCACAAGGACAGCCAAGCTCTCAGTCAGCGTCACACCACCTGTTCCTCCTCCTTCTGTGGAACTTGCTACATGATGACGTCAGTAGAAAATAAATTTGCTCTTTTGCTTCCACGGGGGAGGAAGAGCTTTCCAACCAGGCTCCGCGGGGCCGGGGCGTGTGCCTGCCCTGTCGGCAAGTTCTCTGCTCCTATGCCCTTCTTCCCCCAGCTCTGACAGCCATGGCTTCTGGAGCCCAGCCCTCAGAGGTGGAGTGGCCATTCTGCGGTGCTATTTGGGGTGAAGATGGGGTGGAAGTGTCTCCCCTACTCTGCTGCCTTCTCTGTGAGATCCTAGGAGAAAAATGCTGAGTCCCCTTGATGTGGGGAAGGGACAGAGGGACAAGGTGCCAGCAGCCTCGCCGTTTGGCAAGCCCACTCTGGTTGATGAGGCGACCCTTTGCTTTTTTCAAAGGTCATGCTGTTCTTCTCGGGGCTAGGAGGGAAGGAAGTGGCGGGTGGGAAGGGGTGCGTGTGACTCGGCTGGCAAAGCGGTGGGAGCCGGGGGCCGAGGTGTCAATGAGGGATTGTGTGGCAGCCCAGGGCTCTGGCCCAGGAGCACTGCACAGACTCCCTGGAGCAGCGGCAACGCCCCTGTCCTCGATACACTGACAATGTCCCCTGAAGACGCAAGCGAGTATAAGGGCACGTCTGGCGGGCTGGCCTCTGGCCCAAGCCGCTCCACCTGCCCCAGCCAATAAGCAGGGAGAGCCGAGAACGCCTGGTCTTTCCCTGCTGGGGCAGATGAAAGATGTACTCGGCTAACTCTGGACACATCTGTTGCCCTGGGCTTAGTGGAGAGAGAAACCTGGCTGAGGAGCACCTCTCCCAGGGCAGCCGGCCCTTCCCCACAGCCTGGCACTCGACTTCCGTGGGCTTGTTCTGGACACGCTGCTATGGCTGCCTGCAGCAGCCAGGGAGGTGCGAGGCATGGGATGTGCTGGGGCAGCATGAGCCTCCTGCCCGGGCCCAGCCTGCGCTCCTGGGAAGGGTGTTGCACAAGGACTCACCTCTCCCTTGGAGAGGTCTGGGGCATGTCCTAGCTTTGGCTCTTACCCGCTGGCGAGCTGGTGGCAGCGGCTCCCCCGCCCCCCCTCTCCCTTCTAACCTGTACTAAGGAGAACATTGACCTCCTGAGCAAGGCTCGGGTGCGGGGAGTCGTGGACAGCACTGAGCGCTCTGCCTGACAGAACTTGGGAACCGAGAGGCCCAGGCAGGACTACAAGGAGGCGGGGTTCCCAAGGAGGGATGGGGCACGCTAGGTGCCAAAGGGGGGCAGTCAAGAGACCTGGGTTCTCTTCTGGCTCCATCCCCAGATGCCATGTGACCCCGAGCAAGCAAGGGCCTGAGTACTGGGAAAACAGCACGGCCTGGGGGTCCTCCCGGCCCTCCTCAGGGTGCAGGCATGGGGAGGTGGGGGCAGGGAAGCTGAGCGCCAGTCACTCTTCCTGCAGATGGTACTTGGGAGAGTAACTGCATGGGTTTCCTGCCCTGTCTCAGCTCCAGTAGAGCTTTAGAAATCTAAGTATTTTTTTCTTTTAAGGTTATTGCTATAGGGCATATGTGCTCGCCAAAGATAGAAACAGTGAGGAGGAAAGTAAGAAGTCACCTTCCAGAGGGGATGGCCACGCTGCAATCCTTTCTCCATTCTCTTCCTGGATTTGGGACACACACACACACACACACACACACACACACGCGCTTGGTGTGATTTTTCAAGTCACCAGGTCCAGGACTTGAACAGTGGTCGGCCATGTTTGGAGTCCAGCACCTTAACCACTACACCATGCTCTGGCCCCTAGAAATCTAGACTCAACACAGATGCCAACGCCTCCGTTATAGGATCATCTTGCAGGAACTCCTCACTTACTGGTCCTGGGGAACACCGTGGCAGGTGAGCGAGTGAGGAGAAGAGGCAGAAGAGAAATGAGCCTTCAACACTTCCTCGATAACCCTGCAGCCCCGCTCTCCAGGGATGCGGCCTTCCCAGGCTCCTGATTAGGCTGCCTGGGGCTGTTAATGAGGAAACCCTCCTCGAGCCAGCTGTGCAGACGGTCACCATGGGAACAGCTCCTTTCACAACCGACCTCTCCTCCCTATGTGCACACGCACACGCACACGCACACATACACACACAGGGCATGCACATACATGCACACATACACATGCAAGCACACACACACATACACATGCAAGCACGCACATGTGGGGCTCTTGGGAGGGCAGCAGGACCTGGTCCATCTTACTCTGGGCCCACATTACAACTCCCCTAGCCTTTCATCATCCAGAAATGCCTGCTTCTCTGGGGCACCTATTCTTGGTGAAGTGGGGTGGAAGGCTCTGGAAAGCTCGGGGGGGGGGGCTTCCTGGAGGCTGTGTTACTGTCCACCTCCTCCCAGACATCTGGAGAGAACCCAAGTCAATGATGGCATCACATGGGTCCCCTCTATCCACTCCTTGAAGCAGGGACAGGAGACAGAGGTGGTCTGCCAAGACACCCTAGCCAAGTGTTGTTACTGTGGCAAAGACAACGCACGCTTAAGGCCGGGCGCAGAAGCATGTCTGCCAACCACACGGCACTTAAGGATGAAGCCACAGGTGTGGCAGCAAGTCTGTGGCTGTTAGGTGGCCACTGCTCCTTGTTTTATGGTTCTGATCAGATAATCCCCCACACCATGAAAACTAGAATGGCAGGGCTCTTACTTCTCCACTTTACGGAGGAAAGCTGAAATCACTCGGGAAACCTGGGCCCTAACGAAGATCTAATTTAGCATCTCAGTGAACCAGCCTTTGTGAAGGCCGTTCCCTTCCCATCCCTTTCCAGGGCATCGTCCTCCTGCTTACTCTAGCCACAAGGGCCTGAGGGGTCCAACTTTGGACTTATCAGACAATAGGAAGGCTAAGAGGAGTTGTCCCTGCGCTGGGCCCTGAGCTGCATGGACAAGTCAAGACCACAGAGGGCCACGGGGGTGAGCGGAGAGAGGAACACGAAGGGGCTCTCAGAGTTCCAGACTCTGCCATGTTGGTCCCCCAGCAGGCTCCTCCACGGGAGATCAGCCCTGCAGCATACCACCACAGATCTCCGCGCACCGGTCCACGTCTGGGGAGACAGCCAGCTCTGAATCCCCGCATATGCTTCCACCCCTCCCCACCTTCCAATAGTCCTCGCCCTCCCTGCCCTCCCAAGCCTCCAACGCCTCCCCCAAAAGCAGGAGAGAAAGAGAAGACAAGCAGGACTCACGGTCCATAGGAATCTCGATGGCCCCGCCAAGACTGAGGAGGCAGAGGAGGAAGGCTGCGTGCACCCAGGGCGGCGGCTGCTGCCTGGCCATCCTCAGCGCCCGGCCCCGCTCCCTGCTCCCCGGCCTGCCGGGTCTCGCCGCCTTGAGCCGCTCAGACTGGGCCTCCGGAACAGAGCTCAGCTGCGGAGAGAAACACAACAGCACGTGATTTATTCTCGATCTTGTGGCTCCTCTGGTAATTCTGCTGGAGCTCGAAGGACTCGAGGGTCACCGATCTTAAACCAAGGGGATGTCTGAGAACGCGGTCTCCCAATCTCAGCGCTACTAGCTGTCGAGACCGGGTACTTTCTGGTGTCAAGGACTGTCGGGGCATCTTCGACCTCTACCCATTAGATGCCAGTAGAGCCTACCAGGCTACCATTTAAAGTGTTTCCAGATGGGCGTGAGGCAGCCGGATCCCGCAGGGCTGACCGTGTAGCTGAAGGCCCAGACCTGTGTTTTAGGAAACGTACCCAGGCGTGTGTGTGTGTGTGTGTGTGTGTACCAGAGGGTCCTGACAAGATGGCGAGCTGGAGAAGGGGTTGGGAGGAATTGTAGCGTGACCATGCCCCTTAGAGGATGCTTTCACCCTGTCTCTCTGTTTATCTCTGACAAATGCATGAAACCTCTGGTAAAATTTTTTTAAAAAGTCTCTAGACATTGCCAAGTGTTCCCTGGTTCAAGCCCAGCCCCGACTGAGAACGACTGTTAGCGAAGGAAGGGTAGCTCTGCAGGGAACGGTCAGAGAGCCAGGGCGGCCGGGTCTGCCCAGCACCCTCTGGGCTCGTGAGAAATGCGCTGACCTCGCAGCCTCTCTCACCCACACGGGCTGAGTGCGCTTAAGGGAGGGGCACGGAGACAACATCACAATGATGTCTGCTGACCCCGGCGAGGGGGGCCAGGTGGCACTGGCACCATGAGGGACATGGGTTAGATACTTGGTTGCCCAAGGAGTTTGTCGTTTTGCTTTTTGTCAGATTTTTGCCATAGGGCAGGACCAGCGGATGGCGTAATGGTTATGTCACTGGGTTCCTACATAGTTGACTGCGGTTCGAGTCCCTGACCCAACGGCTTAAAATTCATGCTGGGTGCGTGTGCATGTGTCCCCAAAAATCCAGAGAGGAGACTGGAGGAGAAGGGATTGCAGTGTGACCACCCCCCCAGTGGGTGATTTCTCACTTTCTCTGATTTCTCTCTGTCTCTCCGGTGAGCGCTCACACTCTGTAGCTAAAACCTCTCTCTAAAAAATTTTTTTCCCATAGGGCATGTCACTTGCTGGTGAGAGAGAGAGAGAGAGATACTGAGAGACAGTGAGGGGAAAAGTAAGAAATCACCCCTCAGTGAGGATGGCCACGCCCCAATCCCTTCTCCTCCAGTCTACTCCTGGAATTTGGGGCATGCAAGCACACACACTCAGCATGGTTTTCAAGTCCCCAGGTCCAGGACTCAAACTGCGGTTAGCCATGTGGGAGTCCAGCACCTTAACCACCACATCACCTGCTGGCCTGTTTTTCTTTTTTGTTTTTTAATGAATAATTTCTACAAGTATTTTGTACAGCAACAGTGCAGAGGTCCCTGCTGTTGTTCCTTTAAAGATAACAGCAGTGGTGAGACAATGACCCAGAAGAAATGGGCTTCGGGCGGTTGGCAGAATGAGCCACGTTATAACAGCTCAGTGTGCTCATTCCTGGACCCGCAGGGGTGGGGTTAACAAAGTCTGTCCAATGGGACTATACTGGATCCTTCAGAGACAAGCCCTCCTTCCCTTTGTCCAGAGAGGGAAGAACCAGAAGGGCCTACGACTGAGACCCTCAGGTTGTCTGAGGCTCGGACACATGCTGCCCTGCAGATCAGTCCAGTTCGCTGCTCTGCCAGAGGCTGAGCGAAGGAGCAGCAGGAGGTGCTGAGCCAGAATTCTCCCAGCTTTCTGGGGCCGAGCGCTCCTACCCAATGGCACACAGTGCCCCAGCTCCCGTTTCCTTGGCAGCAACCAGAGCTCACTCTCAACTGCACACACCCACATCTCCCGTCCATCCCGGGGGCAGGGACAGAGCTCCGGCACCTGCCCAAAGGCAGGGCAAGGTCTCCTGGGAGTCAAGGCCATCCTTTGGAGACCTAGAGCCAAAGGCAAGGCACCAGCCACTGCAATAGGACAGGCCACCGGGATGTGCACAAGCGAAAGGTTCTGGCTTACATGTCAGCGGTTTCCCTCCTGGAAGCTGGGCCCAGCACCAGCCCAACCTTGTATTTCTGGACTCCATCACTTGTCTCCCTTCCCAATATCCCCGCCTTGGTTCCGAGCACCATCATCTCCTGCCAGAGGTGCAGCTTCCTGAGTGGCCTCTCTGCTTTTACTCTTGCACCTCTGATTCATTCTCTACCCATAACACAGTCGTTATTTCTGGAGTTCAAAGGTACACATGCCACTCCTTCTTCCAACTCCCAGTAGCTCAGTGCCAAGGGTTAATGCCACCATCCCTGATGTGGTGCAGTGACCCCGCATAACGTGCCTGCTCTGTAGTCTCACCTCTTGTCACACTCCCCTTGCACTCTGGCCCCAGCCAATATCGCTCATCTACCACAGCTCTGGGGCGTTGTACTGCCTTGCACAGACTCACCTGGCCAGGACAGCCTTTGCATCTGCCCTCTCTAGTGAGTGTCTGCCAAGTCTATGTCCCTTGTCTGTGTTTCTGTATACCCTTTACTTCCTTCAAAGCACAGGTCAGCAGGTGGTGTGGTGGTTAAGGCACTGGACTCCCACATTGGCTGACCATGGTTTGAGTCCTGGACCTGGGGGCTTGAAAATCACACCAGGCACATATGTGTGAGTGCCCAAAATCTCAGAAAGAGAATGAAGGAGAAGGGATTATGGCATGGCCCTAGCCCCGGGGGGTGGGGGGGTGGGGGTGGTGTCTTGCTTTCTTTCTCTCTCACTATCTCTCTCTGTGCATGTGCCCCATGGAAAAAAACTAAAAATAAATTAAAAAGCACTTTGCACTTAATATTCATTCCCAAGTCACTTGTCTGTCTCCGCTCTAAAAACGAGAGCTCCATAAGAGAAAGTACCCTGTCTCGTTTATTGTTTCGTTCCTGGAGTTTATCAAAGTAACTAAAACACAAAGACCCTCAAAAATATGTGATGGGTGGATATGTGATTGGATGAAATCATGAACAAATTAATGACTGAATGAATGAAAATACAAATCCTCTTAAAACAAGCTTTTTTATTAACCTCGTGTTTCCCCAGAAAACCACCAGGAGGCGTAGGGGAGCACGCTCTGTGTACCTGGGTGGCATGTGTGAAGGCGACCGATTTAGTGGAGGAAAACCTCCCTCCCTACACAGATGCCAGCAATATGGCCAGGAAACCAACCAGCTGGAAGAGAGTTAAGAGAGTAGAAAATGTCCCAAGGAGGGACCCTGGCTGACGGCATCCCAGAGGGCTTTGGTTCTTCTCCGAACTCTCTAAGGTGGTCCTCACACTCTCCTGGAAAGAGCCTGCTAGTGCTTCTCCTCGGCGTATTCACCCCAAAGACCAGGCTAGGAGCGTCAGCTGGAACCTTAGTGCGAGGAAACCTGCGCCAGGAGGAGGCTCAGCACTGGGGGCAGCGGATGGCTCCTCTCTTGGCTCCATGACTGCCATCTTTATTCAGGAGCTGCCAAGCCGTAGGAAGTGATGAGAAAAGGAAAGGTATTTTATTTGGGACTCTTGATGGAACTAAGAAGCCAGAAGCTATTCATTAAACAGAAACGCATTGGCAGGAAATAAAAGCCTTATTGTTTAGGAGATTTCTAACCCACAATGTAACCACGCAGTGGAAAAAGAACATCAAGATCATCACATTAGGTCTGGTCCCATGGTGCAGTGGTTAAGTGCTGTGTAGAGGAGACGGGATCCCACCACGCTTCGAATCCCACCCATGACAGCAACATGCTGGGTGCGTGTGCACACGCCCGGGGTCCTGACAGGATGGAGAACTAAGGGAAAAGGATTGTGGAGAGGTCAGCCCTGACTGGAGGGCGGGGGCTTCTTTCACGCTCTCATGTGCACATGCTGTCATGCATATAAGGAAATAACAGCTGTTTGACAATTCGTCCCCCCTTTACTCTCGGGCACCCAATTTTCCCAGCACAATCTTAAGAGGAAGAGAATGTAGTGGTTATTTTGTTTTACAAAATCCCTTCCTTTTCAGATGGGAAACAAGAGCCCACAGAGGGGCAGTCGTCTCTGACTCCTAGTGCGGGGCTCTTCCACTCAGTTTCCCTCCCACTCAGGAAAGTTTCAGAGTGGAGTTGCTATTTTCAAAAGAAATGTATAGGGGCTAGCAGGCGGCGGGGTAGTTAAGATGCTGGACTCTCACATAGGTGATGGTGACTGTGGTTCAAGCCTCTGACCTGGCAGCTGCTTTCTCACTCCCTCTTCCCCTCTCTCTGGTGAGCACATGTGCCCTATAATAATATAAAATAATAATAATAATAATAATTGTTTAAAAAAATGTATGCTTTGGCAGTTCCTCAAAAAGTTAAGCATGAAATTACCATATGGTCCTACAATTCTACTCCTAGGTATAAACACACTCTGCAGGATTAAAAACAGAGACTTGGGACCAGCAGGTGGCATGGTGGTTAAGGCGCTGGACTCCCACATGGCTGACCAAGGTTAGAGTCCTGGACCTGGCAGCTTGAGACTCCTGCCAGGCACGTGTGCATGTGTGCCCAAAATCCTGAGAGGAGAATGGAGAAGAAGGGATTGTGGCATGGCCATTCCCCCTGGCAGGGGAGGGGGTGATTTCTGGCTTTCTGTCTCTCTGCCTCTCTCGAGAGCACACTATATTAAAAATCTCTCAAAAAGCCCAGACACTCAAGCAAGTTTATGAGCACACGTGTGTATAGCAGCATCAGTCACAGTAGCCAAAAACCAGCCCCAGATTCCAGCAGCAGATGAAAGGAAAAGCAATTTCCAGTGCACACATACCATGCAATATTATTTAGCTATATGAGAACATGAAGTATTGATAGAGGCTAGCATGCGGATGAACCCTGAAATCACGCTCAGTGAAGGAACCCCTACACACATGATCACACAGAAAACAGCCCCATATACAGCCTTGAGGTAGGGAACACCCAGGGTTGGTGACACA